AAAGTCTCTTTCTGTAGCAGAACCAGTCATTCCCATCTCGTCACAGTAACATCTAAAAACCAAGCTATAGCATTAACTCTAACTGATCTCTCTGGTTACCCTATTCCTGACGAACCTCATTCAACACTCAATACTTGCACCGGAACCATCTATCTCTCCAGCAAACTGCGCTATCTATAACAAAAAATGATCTGTGGAGAAGACTTACTCACCTGCCTACAGACTATGATGCAATATCAGTACAGTGGTACTCCCTTCCTCCCAGAGGTCATCATAAGAACCCCACTAATATTGCCTAAATTATTTTCTATAGACATGACCTTCCCTTTAATGTGATTACATTGGTGGAGAATCCCTCCCTGTCTGACCATATCAGTCTCCTCCCCGTCAGTGCCAAAACTTAGTGTTTAGGACATCCTGCCAAACATTGCCATTCCACAGCCAGTTGCCCTCTATGTGCCCGACCTGGTCATACTTGATCAAACTACTCTGCAGTTTTACACATGCCAACTGTGGCAGCCCCCATAATGTATTTTATAGGAGCTGCCCCACCAACTTTGAGTCTGAGGCAGCAACTCTCAGATTCAGACTCTATCCTCCATACACATCTCTGATCTTCTCCAAGTCGCTAATGAACTAGATGACTATTTCAGCCAGGTCAGTAGTGGTTCTCACCTTTTTCCACACTTCTATTAACCCATTGGCGCCGGGGAAAATGAACAAAAAATGGGGGAAATGCAGTACTCATTTTTTATATTTTTGTGAAATATGTCTGTCCATAGATGGCTCTGCTAGTCCTGATTTCACCTTTCCTTGAATTGGCGGGAAAAAACGTATTCATATTAGTGCTATAAATATAGGTGTTATTTTTAACAGCAAATTAGGATAACGTTAAATATTTTCGTAAATCGATGAAAAGGGTGAACGGGCGAGACAGGCAGTACTATAATTGGCTCATTGGATACTTAGTACAAGTTTAGCCATCTATGTGTAAAAACAATCGAACAAGTCGACTCACAGTGGCCATGGCATGTACATACATGCCATCCCCAGCGGAAATGGGTTAAGACCATCAGGGAATGCACCCCATTATCTTCTCCCTATCCTCTGCCGAGTCCTATAATGTTCCTTTTTCTTCTTTTGTGCCAAAACACTCATGAAGACCCTGGTGGTATTCACTACCATATGCTTCAACATTTTCCATCTTCATGTTTATCCTTCCTATTAACAATTCCTTATCCCACCCTCTTACTCCTTCCCCTTTAAATTCTCCAACACATACTGTAGCCGGTATCATTCGTAAATCAACGAAAGTATAGCCATCCTTCATTGAAATATTCGCAGTTTTCGTTCTCACAGACCTGAGCTTCGTCATATCCTTTCCTCTTATAACCCATCCATTATATGTCTTCAAGAGACTTTTCCACACATCCTCCTATACCAATTCCCAGTTACCAATTTGTCTTGTCCTCACACTCCCTTTATGTCTCGTCTATACTTGTCAATCAGAAAACCCTTTATGTCATACCTCCCTTTCAAACCACTGTCCCTTGCATAGTTATTGGCATCTTTTTTCGCCGCTGGATCACAGTGATTTCAGTCTACTTCTCTTCCCACCCCATTGACTTTGTTGCTTTTGAAAATCTAATTTCCCAACTTCAACCACCTTTCCTCATAGTTGGCAACTTTAACTGCCGCCACACTCTTTGGGGTGATTCTATTACCAACTCCCGAGGCCGATCTCTAGAGCGCTTCCTCTCCACAGCTGACCTTACTATTCTAAATTCAGATCGCCCCACACACTGATACACGCACGCAATCTTTTTCATGCATTGACCTCTCTCTATGCTCCCCTTCTCTTCATTTAGATTTCCACTGGTCAGTCTTAGACCACTTTCCCTATAGTGACCACTTTCCAGTTCTCCTTTCTGCTTTGATAGAGGCGACTAGCGTACTTTCACTTCACTCTCTGCTATTCATACCCCTCCATCCTCCCTCACCTCCATTTCAGAAATGATAGTGTTTCACAACTACAGTCTTAAGAGCTGCACATACAGCTATCCCTCGAACCTCAAGACCATATACCTCTAAATGTGTTCCATGGTGGAATTCTGATTGCACTAAAGCACTTCGCTTAAAACGTGCAGCTTGGAACAGTTACCGCTACAAGAGAGGTACTCCAAATCAACTATCAGCACTTATCTCCTTTAAAAGAGCATCTGCCTGTCTTCGTCGTACAATCCGGAATAGGAAAACAAATAGCTAGCAAAATTATGTTTCATCAATTACATCCTCTACATCTATCTCAAATGTTTGGCGCCGAATCCATAAACTATCAGGCAAACATCCCCCCGTCCTCCATATTCGAGATACCCTCATTTCTGATCCTCTCCAAGTCGCTAATGAACTGGGTGATTATTTCAGCCAGGTCAATAGTGGTTCTCACCTTTCTCCACACTTCTCTTCTATCAAGACCACCAGAGAACGTCCCCCATTACCTTCACCCCATCCTCCGCTGAGTCCTATAATGCCCCATTTTCTTCCTCTGAACTCATTACTGCCCTACAATCGTGCCGCAACACTCATGAAGGCCCTGACGGTATTCACTACCGTATGCTCCGGCAACTCCCATCTTCCTCCTTATCCTTCCTATTAAAAATTTACAACCACATATGGACATCAGGAAATTTTCCTTCGAGAAGCTCTTATCCTTCCCTTCCTGAAACCCAATAGATCGGGTACCCTCCCTCAAGACTATCGCCCCATCGCACTAACTAGCTGTTTGTGCAAACTATTAGAGCGAATGGTGAACTTCCGCTTAATGTGGTATCTTGAATCTCACAATCTTCTCTCTCCTTCCCAATTAATTTTGAGACATATTACATCCGCATTTGCACACCACGAATCCATACTAGCTATATTTTTTGATCTAGAAAAAGCATATGATACGACATGGCGGTACCATATTCTCCAACAATTGTCCTCTCTAGGCATACGTGGAAACATGGGTGTCTTCATAAAGTCTTTCCTCTCCCAACACACTTTTCAGGTCAAAATTGCTTCTGCCGCATCATTCTTTCCTCAAATCGAAGGTGTCCCACAAGGCAGTGTGCTCAGTACAACTTTATTCCTTCTTGCTGTTAATGATATTGTCTCAGTTTTACCACCAGGAGCCCAGTCATCACTATATGTTGATGGTTTAACCATCTATGCCTCTGGCACATCCATACCAAATCTCTACCAATTTCTTCAATCTGCAATCTCATCAGTATCTTCCTGGGCCAGAAACCATGGCTTCTGCTTTTCTACCTCTAAATCTTTCTCCATCCTTTTCTCTCGCTCACGTGTAGGTCCCCTACCCCCACTCTTCTTATATGGCACTCCACTCCAATACCGTTCCTCTGGCAAATTCCTAGGCGTCAGTTTTGACTCCAAACTGACCTGGCGAGACCATATTCTACACATTAAAGAAAAAGCTCTCCGCCGCCTTCGAATTTTAAAAACTCTATCCCATATATCATGGGGCTCAGATCGCAAAACTCTTCTTCATCTTCATGTTACTTTGATCCTCTCCACTCTTGATTATAGATGCCTTATCTACTCTGCTTCAACTTCTCTCCTTGCCCATCTTGACACAATCCATCACTGTGGTCTTCGCTTAGCACTAGGCGCCTTCCGCTCCTCTCCAGTTGAGAGCCTGTATACTGAATCAGGCATACCATCTCTATCTCGACGTCGTGCCCTTCTCTCTCTCCGATGTTATGTTCGTTTCCACCAACTTCCCCTCACTAAACTAACTATCCCACAATCCCTACTTCCTACCTTAGCTTCATCTCCACGCTTACCTACTCTTTTCTCCACTCGCTTGGATACCCTCCTCTCCCATTCCCCTTTCCCCCATCTCCAACCTCTCCCATTCTCTGTCCATTCCGTCCCTCCATGGCTTATACCTCACCCCCATATTTGCTCTTCTGTTTTCCCCGACCCACCAAAATCAAATATTCCTTCTGCTGTCCTCATCCATTTCCTTGACCATGTCTCCACCCATTCCTCTAGTATACACATATACTGATGGCTCCAAATCCACCTCTGGTGCTGGTTTTGCAGTAATCTTCCCAACTCGTACTTTCAAATACTCCTTTCCTCCTGAATCCAGTGTCCTTACTACAGAACTGTATGCACTCCTTTTTGCCCTAAAACACATATACTCACTCTCCTCTTCCTCTTTTACAATTTTTACTGACTCCCGTGACTCATTAACTCACATAAAGTCAATACACACCACCAACCCCCTTGTTTGTAAGATCCAGAACTGGTTGTTCTACCTGTCCACACGCCATAAAACAATCAAATTTTGCTGGGTGCCCAGCCATGTTGGAATCCCCAGCAATGAACAGGCAGATACACTAGCACGCCATGCTGCTATGTCCACATCATACCAACCACGCTTCTCAC